AAATAAATGTATTTTTCATCATCATATACTGTGTTTTTGTTGCTCCAATGAATTTTATTATTTCTTCAAGGTTCTTCACATACGTACACCTTAAGAGATATCAAGTAGGCATATGTTCCCAAAAAATTAGGGTTGGCACGCAGAAGAATTTTGAGTCAGAGATTTTGCTGGTTTGGGCATGCACTCATAAAAAGGTTGCCCACCCCTGGACTAGAATATGTTTCCTTCTGCTTCTTTATGTAGTATAACCTGGAATTTTCATCCCTCAAGATTAAATAACTTTGTTTATATAATAACTTCATTAATATAATTGTCCTTCTCCAATCTTATTTAAATGGTTTTATGTGAGGACTATAGCCATATTCTTTTTTTTAAAATATCTTTTTATTAATTTCAGAGAGGAAGGGGGAGAGAGAGAAAAACATCAATGATGAAAGAGAATCATTGATTGGCTACCTCCTGGATGTCCCTGCTCCAGATCGAGCCTGCAACCCAGGCGTGTGCCAGGACTGGGAATCGAACTGTGACCTCCTGGTTCATAGGTCAATGCTCATCCACCGAGCCACAGTGGCCAGGCTATAGCCATATTCTCAGGGAGCCTTATTTGATATGTGTTACTGTAATAAATGAAGGAAAAACAAAGGATGTGGGTTTCTTTTAATCTAAGATATGAAACCTGTGTTATCTTTGTATTTCTGATTATAAATGGTAGCCAGAGGAAGGCTACAAAATATTCAAATTCTATGCCCATAATATTCTATGGTCTGAAGAGGTAGTATTGGAATTTTATTTATGGAATATCAAAAAGAAAATAATACCATCAAAAAGGCAAACAGAGGAAACCTCGTCTGCCTCTCTGAGTCTGGCTATTAAAAGAGTGCAAAGCATAGCCCTGGCTAGTGTGGCTCGGTTGGAGCATCGTCCCTTACACCGAAAGGTGGCAGGTTCAATTCCCGGTCAGGGCACATACCCAGGTTGCAGGTTTAATTCCCGGTCGGGGCCTCTGTGGTAGGCAACCGATTAATGTTTCTTTCTCTCCCTCTCTCCTTCTCTCCCTTTCTATAAAATCATTAAAAAAGAGTGCAAAGCATTGTATTGCTGTTGTGCTTGGGCCTGGGTGTAGCACTTTCCTTGCATTACTGCAGGATGGGAGTTGCTTCCTGATAGGGATAAGAGGTTGGTGAGATTAGTAAAAATCATTTACTTCTTTGATTGTCATACATATTGTCTGTACTATAACACTTACTCAGTTATTCAATGACTAGAGGCCCGGTGCATGAAAATTCATACACTGGAGCGAGGGTCCCTCTGCCTGGCCTGCCCCCTCTCACAGTCCGGGAGCCCTCAGGGCGGAGGCGACCTGGTGGTCAGAGGAAGGCGATGCCCCATCACACCTCTGCTGCTGCCACTGCCGACAGCGCAAGCCTTGGCTGGCCCTGGTTACCTGAGCCTCGGGTGGCCCTGGGCGGCTGGGCAGCCACCATCCGAGGCTTGCCTGCACCTTGGGTGTCGGCTGGGCAGCTACAATCCGAGGCTTGCCTGTGCCTTGTGCAGGCCCTGGGTGGCTGGGGGACTGAGGGGACTGGGGACTCTGGAGGCAGGCAAGTAGAGCAGCTGGGCCCACCTGACTGTGGGCCCAGCAGGACTGAGGGGACTGGGCACTGCCATCTTGTGGCTGTGGGTGCCACCATCTTTGAGGGTGGGACAGTAATTAGCATATTCCCTCCTTATTGGCTGTGGGTGCTGCATCTTTGAGGGCGGGGCAGTCATTTAACGTATTCCCACTTTATTGGCTGTGGGCGCCGCCATCTTTGAGGGCGGGGCCGTCAGCATATTTCCACCTTATTGGCTGTGGGCACCGCCATCTTTGAGGGTGGGGCAGTCAGCATATTCCCACTTTATTGGCTGTGGGCACCGCCATCTTTGAGGGCAGGGCAGTCAGCATATTCCCTCCTTATTGGTTGTGGGCGCCGCCATCTTTGAGGCAGGGAGGTCAGCATATTCCCTCCTTATTGTCTGTGGGTGCCACCATCTTTGTGACAGTGGGTCAGTCAATTAGCATATTCCCTCTTTATTAGATTGTTTTGTCTGTAGTATCATTCTCTCTTCAAGGAGGGCTCTGTTCCCCTAAAAAAAAAAAAAGCAGGGAATACACCATAATAGTTGGCTGGTACTGCAGATAATAAGGACATGATTGTTATACTTAGTAATAAATCCTGAGGTGCACATTTTTTCATATTCTAATATCTGAAATCAAGGTGAATCTTACAGTTAATGATTTTAAAAGCATTTTAACATAGTTTAACTGGCAGTGTTTTTTCTTAATAGTACACAAAAGGATGCCTCTTTTAGACAGTGGTTTTGATTAACTACACTGGATATTTTATATTCTTGCTATAAAGACTATTCACTGTATAATGAAATTATTTAAATTCCAACTGATGTTATGTTGATTGTCAGGTGATACTCAGTATAGTAAGATTTAAGATATGGTTAAAAAAAAGACATTATCCTGAAATGAGTACATACTGAGCACATAAATGTCAAAGGAATGAGGGGCATGAGATGAGGCTGCCCTCCACACTGTATATCAAGAATTGGAATTGGAAGCAAACCAGCCGAGTATTTTGTCTGGATGAAGGCACAGGAGGTAGCAAGCAAACTGACTTGCCTGTCATTAGTGTGAGGTCTTCAGTTTCAGCCTCTAAGACCTTGGGTTTGTTGTCATGAGCAGAACCACGGAGGAGGTTGTGGAAGCCTCAGAATACAGTAAGTGCTCAACATCATTGATGGATTCTGTGACTTACGCAAAACAACATATAACAAAACCAATGTGACCATAGTCTAATTGATAGAAACAAGAGTTAAATTCCTGTGGCATCTCATCAATGTTATGAGGACAAAACGTTATTGGAGGACCTGCTGTATTACTTTTGGGTTGGCAGTTAAACAAGAGAAGGAACTAAAGGGATGAGGCACTTTTCCTCAAGTGAAAAAAATTACATTAATCTCTTGTTTAGAATTGAAAGTATGTTTTCAGCTTAACTATTGAACCAAAAAGACTGAGTTAATGGTGCAGCTTTATAACCACCTAATCACACTACTGTTTCTCTGCCACAGATTGCCTTCTCCCAGCACAGCAATTTTATGGACCTGGTACAGTTCTTCGTGACTTTTTTCAGGTAATTTCACTCATACAAACTATATCTGTTCTTTCGATTGAGGTACTTAATTCTATTAATTATCAGCTCATGAAAAATAAATGAATAATCCTGAGTTTGCACAACAGACCAAACTAATTGTATTTATTTCCTGAAAAGTTACATGTCAGTAACAGTAGTGTAAAGTCAGTCTCATCTGATAAAATGAAAACATTTGCTTGGCATGTTCTGGCCTTTTTGAGGCAGCTTTTCATGTACCCTATACTATAATGGAGATAATTTGGCTCTTTATATGAAGAAAATTTGGGGTTGAAACAATAATTAATGATTACTGGGGTGTGCTATATATATGTTTCCTTTTGTTCAAGAAATGATTCAGATGATTATCCAGAGTTTTAAAGCTAAAATAACTTGTTAAGCCCTTGGAATTTTTTTATTATAATTTTTTAAATTTTATTTTTATGAAAATACTGTATACACATAACTGGAAAAGACAAGTGATACAGTGCTTATAAGAGAAAGCAGCAGCATCCTGCCCCCCACCTTTCAACCCCTCCCTTTTTCCCCAATTTAAACGGCTTTAGCTGTTTTTCACTTATCCAGGCTTACTCTGTTTCTTGATTTTTCAGTTCGGTTATCTTTTGATGGCCTACTGAAGACGTCTTTATTACCTTAGATTACCTCACCCAACAACTCCCCCACACCACAAAAACATATATAATCCCTTCCTCCCATTCAGTATAGTACATCACAATGCTTGGCTACATCAATCATCTCTGTTTATGTTGTTACTAGAGGCCCAGTGCACGAAATTCGTGCGGGGCGGGGGAGCGGGGGTGTCCCTCAGCTCAGCCTGCACCCTCTCCAATCTGGGACCCCTCGAGGAATGTCCAATTGCCCAGTTAGGCACGATCCCACAGGGATCCCACAGGGATTAGGCCTAAACGGGTAGTCGGACAACCCTCTCACAATCCAGGACTGCTGGCTCCCAACCACTTGCCTGTCTGCCTACCTGATTGCCCCTAACCACTTCTGCCTGCCAGCCTAATTACCCCTAACCACTCCCTGCCAGCCTGATCGACGCCTAAATGTTCCCCTGCTGGCCCAATTGCCCTGAACTGCCCTCCCCTGCCATCCCAGTCGCCCCCAACTTCCCTCCCCTGCAGGCCCAATTGCCCCCAACTGCCCTCCCCTGCAGGCCTGGTCGCTACTAACTGCCCTCCCCTGCCGGCCATCTTGTGGTGGCCATCTTGTGTGTTTGAGTGATGGTTAATTTGCATATTGATCATGATTAATTAGCATACCATGTTGTGACTAATTAGCATATCCCTCTTTTATTATATACTAGAGGCCCGGTACACAAAAATTTGTGCACTCGGGACCAGGGGGCGTCCTTAAGCCCGGCCTGTGCCCTCTTGCAGTCTGGGACCCCTCAGGGGATGACCACCTGCTGGCTTAGGCCCACTTCCCGGAGGATTGGGCCTAAGATGGCAACCAGACATCCCTCTGGCAGCCCAGCAGCCCTCGGGGGATGTCCACTTGCCAGCGGGGAGCAGGACTAAGCTGCAGTAGGACATCCTTAGCGCTGCTGAGGAGGCAGGAAAGGCTCCCACCACCACCACTGTACTGGGAGCCATCAGCCTGGCTTGTGGCTGAGCAGAGCTCCTCCCATGTGAGAGCGCCCTGACCACCAGAGGGCAGCTCCTGCATTGCCCTCCTTTTTTTCTTTTTCTTTTTTTATTCTGGGATTTATTTACTTTCTATGGCCGTCACTGGAACTGAGAGCTGGCTTTAGCTCTGAGGCCGGCTCCAGCTTGAGGCCTCGGCTGCTGAAAGCAAGTATCTGGAGTTTGTTTGGCTTCTATGATTGCAACACTGTTGCCATCACTGCCGCTCTAAGCTCAGAGGCCCGGCTGGCTGAAAGCAGGTCTTTGGAGCTTGTTTAGCTTCTATAATTGTAACATTGTTGCTTAGACTGCAGCTCAGAGGCCGGCAGTGGCAGGCAGGGAACCTTGGCTTCCTCCATCACTGGAGGGCAGCTCCTGCATTGAGCGTCTGCCCCCTGGTGGTCAGCTGAAGCCTCCTGTTTGCTTCAGCTGCCTGGCTGTCGGCCGCCATCTTGGTTGGCAGTTAATTTGCATATCGCCCCAATTAGCCAATGGGAAGCGTTCGGGGGTATGATCAATTTGCATGTTTCTCTATTATTAGATAGGATGATAACCATAAAGCTCCTTCACAGATGAATTGAACTCTACATATACATCCCCATTTCTTGGATGGGGGATCACTCTGAATTTGTTTTTTAATTGTTTGGTTTTCTATGTAGCTACTTCTGATTTATCCTGTACTCTGACAGAACTGAAAAGACTCTCAGTTTGGTCAAATACCACCAGGCAAGGCACTCTCTTAGTTTGTTTCCCTTGGAGATGCCTGCCTGAGGACCCTTCCGCCTGCTGCTCCTGGTGCACTGCTTCCTGTCTAATTCTATTTGCTTGAATTGTGGATTTCTCTGTTAGATGAATGAGGAGATTCTGTGTCTGCTCTATATTTCTTAACTGAACCCTGATTTCCTTTTGCCCTGCATTCTAGGTGAGCTTCTCAGCAATATTTTCCAGTTTGTTAATTTAATCCAGAGTTGCATTTATTTCTTTTATTTTCAATACATTTTTAATGTTTTTTGTGCTTTTCTAATACATTTTTCTTATAACCTGTTTTGATTTTGTGAATGCAGTTTCCTTTCATATTCATTTGTGAGATTAATATTTTATTTTGAAGTCTTACTTTGTCTCCTCAGATTTTGTTTTTGTTTTTTTTTGTTTTTGTTTTTTTTTTTTTGGAATGAATAGATGTTTAATTAAATATCTAGAAAATGTAACATTATGGCAACTTCATTCATCATTAAATTTAGTATTCATAAACAATCAAATTACATTTGGAAATAATTTGAAAGTTAGATTTTCCCGAGACACAAAAATTTCCAAATAGGCTCAATGATTGCCCGATGTGTCACTCACATCCACTACTTACTTACTCTCTTTCACCCTCTCTAAAAATCAATGGAAAAATATCCTCAGGTGAGGATTAACAAAAAAATAAAAATAAAAAAATTGACGTGACATGTAGATACAAAAATATATGTAGCCTTAAGACTCTAGGGTGTCTCCTCAGATTTTGGATTTTTTTCTTTTATGTGGTGTTTGGTGCCACTCTTTCACACTGTTGGTTTTCCTCCCAATGTCTGATATTTGGTTGTGTGGAAGATTCCACATTGCCTGTGTGTGAATGCTGTTTCTGTCTGTCACAGCCTCCAGTGAGTGTGGAGTAGGGGCAGAATGTGCTCCTGGGTGGGATGTATTGTTAGTTTGTCTTCTGAATGGCTTCTCCAGCCTCAGGACCAGAGCTCACTGCCTTAGCTGCTGTCTTCCATTGCTCAGCACAGGCAGAAATGGGGACTCTTCCTTGGAGCCCCCTTCCTTCTCGTATCTATTGACTCTGGGCTTGGAGCCCATTTTTTTACTTTTTAGCCCTTTCCAATGTCTTCTATCCCCAATCCCAACTAAATTGTTGTTATTGAGGGCAGTTAGCACATCCCTTTTGCAAAATTTAAAGGTATCCAACTGATTACCCTTTTGTGAGACTCTTCATGCCCTCTGGGATCCCATTCTGCCCTGAGGCCACTCCTTCTTGGCCTCCCTTCCTGAACAACCTGTTCTGTTCAACCTCTCACTGTTGATATTCTTCTTATTTTATGCTGCCCTCTGTGTTCCCACTACATTGTCACCTTCTATTTCTTCAAAAGCACCAGGTTCTTTTCCGCCTCCCAGCATATGAAAATGTTATTCCTTCTTTCTAGAACACACTCTCCCTACCCTTCACCTGTATACTTTTATTCATTGCTTGGTTTTTCCCAACAACAACCAATTGTCTGACACCAACTAGGTGTCCTACAATTCATTTTGGTTTTGGCACTACCTGGAGTTAGCGCAGACCCCTGGGTGAAAGGCTCGGTCTGACAAGACTGCCCCCACTTCAGATATCAACTACAAATGGGTCCCCACTCTACCCCCACTTCTGCCTGGCCAACTACAAATTTGAGGGTTCCGATGAACACTCCCCCTTAGATTTGACAGTTTTCTAAAATGATTCAGGAAAGCACTGTGCTCAAAATTACAGTTTTATTATAAAGAATACAACTCAGGCCAAAACCAGTTTGGCTCAGTGGATAGAGCGTCGGCCTGCGGACTGAGGGGGCCCAGGTTCGATTCCGGTCAAGGGCATGTACCTGGGTTGCGGGCACATCTCCAGTGGGAGATGTGCAGGAGGCGGCTGATCGATGTTTCTCTCTCATCGATGTTTCTAACTCTCTATCTCTCTCCCTTCCTCTCTGTAAAAAATCAATAAAATATATTTAAAAAAAAAAAGAATACAACTCAGGAACAGCCAAATGGAAGAGATGTATAAGCAAGGGATGGGGGTAGGAGGAGAAGACAGAGTTTCCATGCCCTATCTGGTCATGACAGCCTCCCAGCACATCAATCTCTTCACTGGCCCACCAGCTCCCAAACCTCATTCCACATTTGTTTTTTTCAAGTTTGTGTTACACCAGCATGATTGGTGAAATTACTGGTCTTTAGTGATTGAACTCAGTCTTCTGCCCCTCTCTTCTCCCCTGAGGTTCCAACCCCAAATCACATGATTGTTTTTTCTGGCAACCAGCCTCCTCCATCCTGAAGCAATTTAGGTCTTTTCCTCTCATGAATCACCATCTTCTCTCTATATAAAGGCCTAATATGCAAATTGTACCCTTGGGAGTTCGATCGCTCAGTGTGACGTGCGCTGACCACCAGGGGGTGGCGTGGAATGAAGGAAGGGCCCCAGCCGGCAGCCAGAAGGCTCTGGTTGGTCCTGATTGCCGGCCAGGCCTAGGGACCCTACCCGTGCATGAATTTCATGCACCAGGCCTCTAGTTAGCCTATAAAAGATGCTACTGAATTACATCTCAACAGACCTGTTACAGAAAATAGGTCGTTCAGACTCAGAAAGACTTTTATTATACCCTTCTGATTTGTATAATTGCTTCTTACCTAAAAACTAGTAAAGATGTATTTTTTAAAGATTCAAATAAAATATAACTCCCTTCTTTTTAATGCTGAGTAATATTATATGTAAATATAAACCACAATTTGCTTATCTGTTTACCCTTGATGGACATTGAGTTGTTTCCAGTTTAGGTTATTACAAGTAAAGCTGTTTATTATGCCGTACTTATCTTTCAAATCGTGCACTGTGTCATTTCCTCCAAGATTCTATCCTGGAACCTCCAAACTAAATTGTCTGCCCTTGATCTTCTTTCCCACACAACCATATTATTTTTCATCATGGTACTTCTCGTAATTTTTTACTTGCTTAAGATCTGTGTCCTCAGTTAGACTCTAATCTTCAACAGAGCAGGACACTGTATCTTTAGTTCACCCCTACACACACACACACACACACACACACACACACACACACACACACACACACACCTCTGCACCTAGGCTCAAATATATGTGGAAAGTAAACTAGACCTTTAGGAAAAGTGCATTTATGAGGAGCCATAGTCACCAACGTCTCTGAGGAAGAAAAGCTAGTGGTGCTGGTTGATGGCCTGCATTGAAGGGGATACAGAGGCTGTGCTAACTCAGTAACTTAAATTAGCAGGTGTGCTCATGAGATGACCCTGCTGTCAAGTACTAACCCAGTGAGGATTAGTCACTGCTGGTGATCACCATCAGCATTGATCATGGACCACTGGGGGTGTATTCATCACTTCTCCCTTCTGGAAAAGAATCCAGACTTTGTTTTTTCTGGATTTTGTTTAAGAACTAGGAATAGTGAGCTTTTAGCTAAGAATAGAGTCCTTTTCATGAGCATGAGGAAGAAAATATTTTCCCAGAACAAGTTGACCAGAATTTTTGAGAAGTCTCAGCCTCTGTTAGACAGTATAAGCCTCTGATAAACAGGGGCAGGTACAGAACAAAAAGGCTGAAGGATTCTGGGCTTCTCCTTAGGTACAGAGCTGACAGGAAGTAAGGGACACTTAGCTGGGTCAGTGACCTAGTATTGAAAGAAATATACTTCTTTAAGAATGATCTTTGAATGACATTGGCAACATGTTAATATTGTCAAGATTAAGTAACAGGCATATAGGAATTCACTAGATTGTTCTGTTTCTGTGTTTGAAATTTTTCATGATATGTTTCTTTAAATTACATTTGTATGGAAAAATGTAGAAAAGCATTGATAAAATGTTTTAGTAGGATGAACACTGAGTCGCAGCCCATCTGTAGCCAAGTTAGTGGTAGGAAAAAAGAAGGGAGGAATATTGGCAAGCGCCACCTTTATTGAAATAGCTAGTCAGTTCTTCATTGTTGGTATTACCCTAGAAGAAATCATACATGTATCCGCTTTGAGGGACAATCACTATATGTTGATATGCTGTTTGTGTCACTTCTGAAAGCTGGAACAGGTGGAAGGCACCGGGTTGTTGATGTTTTCAGCTGGTCGGCATTGAAGACAGAAGCCTCAGGCTTGGGGCAAAGGGGCCTTCTGAGTGTCCGTGGGGCTGCCCTCCCACTGGTTCTGTAGTGACACTGGGTCCTCACTGCAGATGCCAGCCCTGTACTCAGGTGCATCAGCAGTGTCTTGACTAGCTTAGGTGCTGTTCTCATCTGCTTCCTCCCTTCCATGTGGATTTGCTGCCTCCCTGTGTTTATGTTAGAATAAAAACAATATTATGTGGGGAAACCAAAAAAGACTGAAGTTACTCTTCTCAGACTCTTTTATTGCTTCTTTCTTTTTTCCCCAAATTTTCAATGTGCGGATGTCCCCTAGGACATTCTTATATATTTGTATTCAATCCCTTGGTGACCTCAACCAGATTGATTACTTCAAATGCCATATGCATGCTGATGACTCCATCTCCCACACCTCCTCCAAGTCTTGGCTCACATATCACCTTCTCAAGAAGTAAGGCTCATGTGACCATTCTGCTTTAGAATGCCACTGGCACTCTGAATCCCCTTACCCTATCATCTTTTCTTCTGTAGCAATTCCTACCTTCTGACATGCTCTTTTATGTTGTTTTTGTTTTCTGTGTTATTTACTGTTCGTCTCCACATCCTGGAATGTAAACTCCATGGGAACAGTGGGCTTTTGTTCTATTTGTCAATGTATTCCAAGAGCCTAGGGCAGGACCTGGCCCAGTAAAGTATTTATACAAAAAGGAAAACAGACTGTCAGGGAGGAGGAAGGACCAGCAGTGTCAGGACAGCCAAGAGGACCAGCAGACAAGGAATTGAAGGCTCTCCCCTGGGTGATGACTCGGGGGCCCCTTACTTTCTGTTAGGTTACCCCAGAGGGGTCTCCATGCTTGTGCATCTTGGGAAAGTGGTGAGATGTCAGAACTTTGAAGTTTCTTTTTGTGAAAAGGCCAAAGTTCAATCATTCTAACATATTAGAGTGCCCTTTTCCAGCCAGCCTGTGAGGTCTGCCTTGGGGTCAGTACATGGATGAACTGAGGCTGCTTTTCACACAACCAACCCCATCCTGCAAACATCAAGCTCAGCAAGCGGGTATCTGGTGGCACGGGCCAAGAGCCATCATGTCTGTGTATAACACTCTGGAACAAAACTCAGTAGCAAGCCCTTTTACAAGTTAGTGAGTGAAAACACCGGTGGTGTTGTTTTTAATATGTTTTATTGTATTTACTTTTTTTTATTTTTTTAGAGAGAGGGGAAGGTGGAGGGATAGAGAGATAGAAACATCATTGATCAGCTGCCTCCTGCAGGTCCCCTACTGGGGATCAAGCCTGCAATCTGAGCATATGCCCTGCCTGGAAATCAAATCGGTGACCTCTTGGATCCTGGGTCCATGTTCAAGCACTGAGCCACACCAGCTGGAAGAACACCAGTTTTTAAATTACTTTAGCAATTACTTTAGTGGTGTATTTGTTCAGCTCCTAATCCTTTTATCAGAAGTTAGTTCTCTGCTATCACAGGAGCTTTTCAAACCATTGAGTGCCTGGTTTACACTTGGGAGGACACTGAAATGACCTGCAGTGACATGACCACTGGGAGTTAGTCTCTCCTGGTACTTTTAAGAAAGCTGTTAGCTTGAGAATGATCATTTTACTTTACAAAAATGTACGCATTTACTTTGTAAAAATATAATTGAATATATATTATTACACATAAGTTTGTTTCTTCTATATTTACTTCTTCCTTATAAAAAGTTATTTTAAAAATTAACTTCTCTCCTATTTTTATACCTTACAGTGAACATTTATTAATTTTTATTAAATAGCATACTTATTATCTGTCATAATTTCGTTAGAATTATTTTTCTTATTTGGGATAAGCCATTCCATTAAAGGTCCAGTAGGAGGTCAGGGCCTCTCCGAGCATGTGGTGGGCACTGTCCAGTCTAAAAGGTCTGAAGCTCAGCTTACTGAAGCCCCTCACACTTTGCTTTCCTGTGAACCGGAACATGGTTGTGATTACTCATCAGAGAGGAGCGTGGGGTGGTATTTGGGGGATTGTTTCCCTGTCTGGCCTGGAATACGGAGACAATGGTGCTGATTCTGGGGGCTGGGATAATAATTTGGTACTTTCCTTTCTCACAGTTGTTTCCTCTCTTTGCTCCTGGTGGCTGCTGTGGTTTGGAAGATCAAACAAAGTTGTTGGGCCTCCAGGCGCAGAGAGGTAAGCCTCAGTGGATACAGATTAATGAATCCTTGTAAGAGCTGTTCCTTCCTACACATTTTTCTTAAACAAGTCAGCATTAGCTATTTTGTGATAATTGATGGACATATTCACGGATGGCCAGTAGACTCCAGTTACTACTATATAAAGTGTCATTAATTCTGCCCCACATGATCTCAGCTTTCTAAAAGGAAACTCTAGTATTCACTTAAACAGGTGCCAGTTTTACCCATCCTACCAATCCTGGAGATCTAAGAATTTCTCATATTTCAAAGAAGGATAAATGTGTATCTAATTAAATTTTTGCTTGAATTTTATTTTTTTATGAAGCTTGATTTATTTCCAGAGCTCTGTTACAAAAGAAGTCAAACAAATATTTACAGTAGACAAATCAAATAAATACACTTCATTAAAAATTACAACATAAGAACTTTGTTTATTGTAACTTTCACTTGTTCATACTCTGCCTTCTGGTCATCAGGTCTATTGCATTGTTGCTTATGAAAATGCACTGAGACCTCACCTTACATGTGCTTTGTTTTCTGTATGTAGTTGTGCCTTTTTCTATATAAAAATTGATCTGTAAGCAAGATTTGGAAGAGAATGGGAGTATCTAAAACCAAATTCACAAGCACTCAGCATTGATCATAGGACATTAGTGTCTATAATGGGGTTGAGATAGGTCCCAGAATATGGGCCTCTTCCTGGGGGCATGACACTTTTTCTGACCCATGTAAAGGTAACGTTATCATAGAGATAAATGTTGCATCCTCTTTATTATTTTAAAAATCAGTCGGTAACATATTCAGAGGATTCTTTAATAGCTCTGTTACTAGGATATCTTAAAATCCCAGTGAATTGTACAATGTTCTGAAAAAATTCAAGTCATCCAAATGGAGTAAGAAAAAAGTAAGAGCCACAATAAACTAGTAACCAGGGAAGAAGGAATTGAAAACTTGTCAAAATATTACTCTCTCCACAAACGTCATTAGACCCAAGGAATTTCTATTTTAAGATGAGTTCATGGAGATACTAATATTCTATTCCTCCATAGATACTTACGAAAATTATTTTCAAAACATATAAACTGTTCCAGAGCAAAGGATATGATGGGAAGTTTAAGAGTCCTAAATCATGCTTGGCCAGGTAGCTCAGTCGAGTAGAGTATTGTCCTGATACACCAAGGTTGTAGATTGAATTCCTGGTCAAGGGCACATACCTGAGTTGCAGGTTTGAGTCCCACCTGGTCAGTGCATGGGGGAGGCAACCAATCCATGTGTCTCTGGGCTATATCATTTATGTATTTAACAGCAGGTATTGTGACATTACATCCATACTAAAGTGTGTGTGTGTGTGTGTGTGTGTGTGTGTGTGTGTGTGTATGTATAAACAATAAGGATTTTTTCTATAATATAATGACAATACTGTTACCACATCCAACAGGATTTAATAATTCCTAATGATAATTAGTACATGGTCTCTGTCCAACTTTCCCTGACTATTTTAAAAATATTTGGGGTTTTATTTGTTTGAATCAGGGAGGATAGGATATTTTAATTATGTAGTATCCTCTGATAAAAATCCCCTCAGTACTCATTGCAATAATGCTTGCTGTTTTACTCATCAGCAACTTCTGCGAGAGATGCAGCAGATGGCCAGTCGTCCCTTTGCCTCTGTAAATGTTGCCTTGGAAACAGATGAAGAGCCTCCTGATCTTATTGGGGGAACTATAAAGGTGAGAATGTGATTACAAAGTCCCTATAACTTAATTTGTCAAAATTCATGCTTCTGAGTTGGGGAAACCTGAGAGAGAGAGAACTTTAATGTGTGGCCTCTTGTTTTCTTCTCTCTTTCTTTTTTACAATAAGCCAGCACACCAAAGTTGTATTCTTTGCTTTTGTTTTCCAGTCTTTGATTCATGTCACTAAGCAGTCTCATGTTTAAGGGATTTTAAAATATAAATGATTTGTCTGATATTCTATGGCATAATATTTTAAAACTTGAAAAAAGCTAAATTGAACCATTGTTTTTTATAAGTATTTGGAGAGATTTGTTTTTAAAGGGACAGAATCATAATTCACTATGAATACTGTGTAAAGTAAATATTTCTGACTCCTTCCCCCAAAACTGATGAGGAAAGTAAAAGAAATTTCTCTTTTAACAAAATGATGAAATATTTCAGATACATTAGTAAAACAGCCATATATCCTGCATAAAATATGCTATTAAAACATGACTGAGCTCACAGGAAGTAGGTATTATTTTCAGGGACCATTCCCCTTTTCCTTTTCCAAGAAAGAACAAGTCATGAACCAAAACCAGAACCTAAAGTGATTCCCACAAACAAGAGAGACACATTTCATGATGAGAGTCAGCAGGTGGATTTAGACAGGACTTCAAATGTCTGAATTGATAGCTAAAGGATAAAATATAGCTATGTATGAAATGTTTAAAGAAATGAAAGATGGAATCATAATGATGAGGAAGCCATGAGAGTCAAGAATGGCCAAGCAGATCTGAAAAACAACCAAATGTAACTGTTAGAAATGGAAAGTATCATAGTAGAAATTTTTTAAATGACTCAGTTTACATGTCAAACAGCACATCAGACATAAATGAGGACAGAGCTTTTGAACTGGAAGATGAATCTGAAGAAATTACATAGAATGTAGAACAGGAGACAAAGAAATGAAAAATATGACAGATAACAAGAATATGGGGGATAGAATGAAAAGATCTAACATATATATTATCAGAGTCCCAAAACAAATGAATGGAGGAAAGCAATAGTCAAAGAGATAATAACAGAATTTTCCATAATGATAGAAGTCATGAATATACAGATTTCAAAAGCAAAACATATCACAAGCAGGATTAAGGAAAGAAAGCAAAGGGAAGACAGAAGAGAAAGAATAGTACAATTGGATTTATCATACTGGAACTATAGAACTCCAAAGACAAAGAGAACATTTTTTTAAGAGAACTTCTTAAAATAAGCCAGAGCAAAAATAGATCACTACAATGTGGAGAAAATTAAAACCCTTATGCACTGTTGGGAATATAAAAACAATGAAGCCACTGTGAAAACAGTATTGATTTTTTATAAAATAAAATAGAACGATAATATAAATTCCACTTCTAGGTATATACCCAAAAAGAATTGAAACCAGGGTGACAAATATATATTTGTATACCCATGTTCATAGAACCATTATTCACAGTAGCTAAAAGATAAAAGCAACCCAAATGTCCATTGACGGATGAAAGAATAAACAGAACATGGTATATACATGCAATGGAATATTATTCAGCCTTAAAAAAGAGGAATTCTGGCAAATGCTACAACATAGGTGAACCTTGAGGACATTATGCTAAGTGAAATAAGTCAGTCACAAAGGACAAATACTGTATGAGTCCACTTGTATGAAGTACCTCAAGTAGTCAAATTCATAGAGATAGAAAGTAGAATGGTGGTCGTCAGGGGCTGGGATGGGAGGAGGGAGGAGGAGTTACTGTTTGATGCTTATAGAGTTTCAGTTTTACAAGATGAAAACAATTCTGGAGATGGTTGATGATAATGGTTGCACAACAATAGGAATGTACTTAATATCACTGAACTGTACAACTAAAAATAATTAAGATGGTAAATATTATGTTATGTGTATTTTACTGCATTAACAAAGAAATGGGAAAACAAGAAAATATCACCTACAAAGGAGTGACAGAGTGACAGCTGACTTCTCACTAGTGGCACCTGAAGCCAGAAGAGAGTGGAAGAATATAGTCAAAGTACTGAAAGAGAACTGCCAACCTAGAATAGCATGTCCAGAAGTTATGTTCCAAGAACAGGGATAAATTGAAGATATCTTCTGACTAGAAGAAAAAACAGAGTTTGCCCCCAATAGACAGACCTGTACAAAAGAAATGTCTAAAGAATATGCTAGAAAGAAGGAAATTTACCCCAAGAGGATGGAATAATAAGGAATAGCGAGTAAATAAAAGGGTAACCATGTGCATAAATCTAAGCAAACATTGTCCTGATGAAATAGTAATAATTGGTGGGATTAAAAAGAATAGACAAACCTAAAGTACTGCCATATATCATATGTTGGCAGCATATAACACAGTTGGTTAATCCTTAGAACACTTTCTTAACTTTCCTTTCAGGACACCACACACTCACCCTATGGCTGTTTTTGCTCGCTGTTCTTTATTCAACCCTCTTCATCTCCCCAACACTTTTTAACAGTGATGTACATTAGGCTCAGTCTTTGAGTCTCTTCTCCCATCTTTCACACTTACTCCTTTGGTGATTGTCTTAGTCTGTTTGGCTGCTATAACAAAATGCCAGAGGCTGGGTGGCTTATAAATAACAAATTTATTTCTCACAGTTCTGGAGACTGGAAGTGCAGATCAAAGTGCTAGAAGATTCACTGTCTTCTGAAAGCCCACTTTCTGGTTCATATATGGAACCTTCTAGCTGAAACCTATACATGGTACAAGGGATGAGGGAGCTCTCTGGGGTCTCTCTTCTAAGGGCACTAATTCCACTAGTGATAACTGAGTCCTCATGACCTATTTATCTCCCAAAGTACCCATCTCAAAATACCATCACATTGGGCATTACAATTTAATATGAATCTTGGGAGTACGCAAACATAGCAGTGATCTTACTCATCATGGATTTAAACACTATGAGCTCTCCCCTCACATCTCTCCCATGAACCTCCAACTCATGTGTCAGAAGATTGCTTACTCAGTGTCCCCACGTGGATGTCTTAACAGGTATCTCAAATTTAACACGTCTAAACTGAACTGTATATAGTGTTTCCCACACCTGCTCCTCTGGTATATGTTCTTGAACTCAGGATACATCACCTCCATCATCCTATTTGCTCAGGCCAAACTCCTGGAATCATCCGTGACTCATCCTCCCTCTCGTTCTCATTGGACAGCCAGTTTGTCAGCAGGTCTTTTTGGCTTTATCTTTAAAAATATTCCCTGACCACTATGTACTTCTCCACCACTGTGACCTACCACCTTGATCTAGGCCATTATCATCTTGTACCTGGATTATTGTAATTGTTCATAACTGGTTTCACCACTTAACCCATCCAGTCATTTCCCCATGCCACAGGCAGGGCGGTTCTGGAAATTACTTTTTTCAACCAAACTGAAGAGATGGCTGACATATTTGGGAGTATAGTGGGCAGGGTTCTAAAGATGGTCTCGCAAGATTCCTGTCTTGTGGTTAGTCAGTCAAACTAGGGACTGATATGAAGGGATTTTGCAGAAGTAATAAAAGTCCCAAGGTAATTGACCTTAAGCTATGGGGAAAGTTTTCTCTGGCTGGTGGCACAGAGGGAATATGGTAAGGACTTGATGGATCATCACTGGTTTGAAGCTGGAGAGGCCATATGAGCAGGAA